CTTTCCAGTTCAAACTTTAAGTAGTGTTTCCATTAGTTAGGTAATCTCACATTATTGGAAATATTGGTTCAGCTTTTGTTTGAGTAATTCTGATAGAAATTACTCGGCATTGTGTTGGCTGTATCTCAGCAGGTTCCCTAAAATTACTTTAATTATTTAAATGAAATTTCTATTCAGTATGTACCTATATCACAACATTGCTACTATACTTAATGCTTTTGTGGACTGTCTTAACAAAGGCAGAAAAAAAGAAAATTGACACTGAAGCTAGATAACTTTTATCCAGCTTTCTTTGGCTTCTAAAGGATTTTTATTTTAGTTTTTTAAAAAGGTGCATGATAAAATGCAGCTTCCACAGATTTAAAATTTCAAGGTAAAATATTTCCATATTGAACAAATGCTTTGATTCCTCATTGGGTGAGGGTCGAACGGATCATGAATAAAGGCTTAGTGCAGTAATGGTACCATTTAACACTATTCCCACTTCCTTGATGAATAAGCTGATCTTGTATTACTGCTTTAACCTTTGCCTAGCATGTTCACTTCATTTAACTTCCATTAAAACAAAGTATCCTTCCTCTTCCTCCAACTGGAGATAAGATACAGCATAATTAAAATTGTGTGCTACGTGAAGTGGTGGGTTAACAAGTGAAATCACAATGCTGTCAGTCTTGTTATTATGACTGTAAATATGTCAGCCACAGTTTTAGCAGCAACTTCTGTGTTTTTTCCAACAAATTTATGCTGGAGTTTTCAGAGAAAAGGAGGAAATGTCACCCTGGTTTTCATGAGCTTAATCAGCCTTGCTGAGTCCACTTCTGGAATAGCTGAAGATAGATGACTTAGCATGTGTAGCAAAGCCTGCAGTGTGCCCATTGATTTGCAGGTTCAAGTAATTTTTTGGTCAAAAGGGAAAAATGCATGATATGGAGGAAATGGTTATATTTTCTTATGTCTACCTAGATGAACTTGTAATGCTTTATCCTGTGCATCTAGTTGCAACCATGCATGAAGTTTGCATTTTCTAGTTTTAACAAAGGTATGTTGAAACTTTTAACTAGCCACCTAGAAAGGTGTTCTTTCTTACAGTTCATTGAACTGGTCCATCTCATTTGTGAATCATTAATGATACTGGCTGCTTGGTAAATTTACTTTGGTTGTAAATCTGTAAGTGGCACGGGAAGATATGGTAGAAGGATTTTTCATGCTTACTTTTTAAATGAAAAAATTATGGTTTCAAGGAAGATAGAAGTAAACTATAAATCAACATTTTGGAAGGAGATACAGCAACCTAAAAAAGCTAACATTTTTCATTCTGTAATCAAATTTTGCCGTTGTTTCCTGTAGCTATATATTGCAGTGAGTGGGTATACATAGTCATGAATAAGTTGTCCCTTTGATACTGTCCATTAGGGGAGAAGTTTTTTAAAGCTGCTTCTTGACAAGGCTTATTTACAGTAGTTTAAGGACAGAGTTTAAAAATCAAGTAGTTGAAAATGCATTTGATGATACTATTTGGGGTAATAAAGTGATACAAAGTAGGAAACAGCAAGTCTGAACATGAAGCAGCATTTTCCTGAGGATGACGGCCTAGGAAAATTGACAGTTGTGTTTTCATACAAACATAGTCACTCCAAGTTCAAATACAAGGCATCTTGTAATGAGGTAAAGTAAATGCAAACAGATTCATATTCAGAATGGAAGGACACTATTTGGGGTTTTTTCCTCTTATTGAAGGAAACAGCTTTGTGGCAAACAGAGCCTTACTGAACTGTTTTCTACTAGGGCAGAGCTGGTATTCAGGAATACACTGTGGCTTTGGCACAGGTGCATGGGAGAACTCCTATAACTACATACAAGCAGTGAAATAATAATCCCCATCCCAAAATTTCCATCTTGTGAGAAATTATGATTTTCAAAATGGGGTTTTGTTCTGAAACAGGGGAAAAAACCCCGAATATCAACACTTTATAGAATAAAAAGTTCAGGCAACTTTCATTCAGAAATGAAGTTCTCTGTAGCAATATAACTGTCTCAGAAGTTCTTTACTACACTTCACTATTTTGCTATAGAAAGATTTGCAGGAGATCATGAAAAACTGAACAAGCTCAGGCACCCAGAGAAAAGCACAGAGCTTTGAGGTATTTCAAGACGTTACTCCCTATTGCATAGTGAACTTGTGTACTTCTCTATCAAAAAGAAAAATTGAGTTTTGAAACACTTTAATTCAGCAGCTCTAAGGTCTTCATGGTTTTCTGCAGGATTCGCTAACTGTATTTGCTGAAACCATAGGCAAGTTTCCTACTTGAAATTAAGACGCAGTGTAAATAACAACAGACTGGGCAAAGTTCATTTTTAGTAAAAGCTCTACTAAACTCACTTGTATACCTGTCATGAATTTGGGCTTACTAGTTTTTGTTCTGCTTATGGCTGACTCAGAGCCAACCATGCTAATAATTTCATAGCAAAATAAGTTTGGACCATTATTTTCAAAGGTCTTTTTGCAAACCTATAGCAGGAATTTTTTTGCACTTAATTAATTTATAGTTTGTATTTTGTCCTTAGATGTCCAGTTCAATTCATGGGTGGGGTAAAAGGTAACTTCTTATTTCCTAAGCATGCTGGATTCTTAGCATGTGTTTAGTGTTTAAATGCTCTTTTCCTTAAATGCTCTGAAATAAATTAATTGCTTGAGTGTGTTAGAAACAATAACCAGACAGAAAAGCAAAATTCCACTACATGTTGTATTGTAGAACCACATGAAGAAAGAAACCAATTAAAATCATCACAGCACAAAAATGTAATTACATGTTGTTATTTTATTTGTGTCTCCACCCAGGGTGTAAACACACACACTGAGGCATTAATTATCTGTACAAATCTCTAGCCTCAATATAACAATTATTAAATCCAGACTTAAAACTCTGCCCCAAGTGTTTTTTTAGAAGAAATCTCTGAGATTTTTTTCTGTTTCTAGTTATACTAATTCATACAAACACTAGTAGTTTTATGGTGAAGGACAACGGCTGAAGCAGTCTTCTTTAAAGGCATTTCACAATAAGACGTTCTACCAGTCATGTCACTGAGTTGCAGTTATCCAGTTTTATTTTGTACCACAGACATACACCTTTAAATTTTACCTTTTACATAAAAAAGAATGTTATGAAACGGGAGAAATATAACTTACGATTATATGAAAAATAACTGTAACAAATCACAAAATTACACATACTAGTAGAGAAAAAAGGTGTACCTAAACCTTTCAAAATATTTTCATGGTATGCAACAGATGTCTTTAGAGCAAGTATCAGCCAGATATACAGAATGGCAAATGGAGCTCATATGTGTATATGTTAGCATGTATAAATATGTAGAATGCTCTGTAAGGTTTAGGTAAAACATACTCCCACTTCCTCTCCTCACCAAAGTGCTTTGTGTAAAAAAATATTACGCAAGATGCTGCTTTCTGTGCAGAATAAAGGGATTTTTTTCTTAAATAAACCCCCACTCAGCTAATTTTAAATTGTGGTCCTTTTTTTCTTTTTTTGCTTTATCTGTTCCTAGGAAATACATATGTTTCTATAAAAAACACCCAACAAAGTTTCACAAAAACAACTAAAAAGTGCTGTTTCATCTTCTATGAAATTACACAGGTAAAATAGGGACTAAGTTAAAATGTAATTTTTGTACTCATTCAGACCCCTTTAAAGAAAGTTGAAAACAAAATACAATGTGACAGATGGCCTTAGCACTGCAATACTTCAGCATTTGATACGAATAAACCATAACGCCATGTATGTATATGTGTATATATACATGTATATATATATACATAGAAAGGGAGATCTAAATACACACATGCACTCTGATACACTCACACATGGACACATGCACTTTGAAGCTATATTTTAAACTCCAGTGTAGATCCAATTCTAATGTAGATATAAATAGATTACAAGTCTGAAAACAAGAGAATTGTATAGAAGAATGATTGTGAAAAAAAATCATTAGAATATTGTTTCATGTCCAAAGTCTAAAATAGTTTCATCTCTTAGATATGATTCCCTTTAGAAAGTTAACAATCCAGCCAGTACAATAACAACACAAAAATCACTGAGGCAAAAGTATTTGTGTGTAAGTCAATAACTGCCATTATGCTATGTATTTTGACAAGCACCATTTTTCACTGTAACCTCTGACAAATAAAATTCCCTATTTTGAGATCCAAAATACACAAGAAAATGTCTGTGAGAAAATGGGGTTTTTTACACAAGCATCCTCAGTGATATAAACTGACACTTCAAAGTCAGTCTAACTCAGTCTAAGAGAATAATCATGAAGAATCCCCTTTGTCTTTGATTAAGAAGTAAACAAAAGACGTACCTTTTTACAGACTGGTAGCCCACTCTCGTACTTAATTTGACTGTAATCTAGCTCCTTTTTTTAAGATTAAGGCTCACAGAAAACTGTAAAGATACACACACACATATATATATAAATTAAAAAAAGCATGAATGTCTTGCAAAAGTTTCTTTTTTAAAATGCAGCTGATGAATCCCCCTTTTTGAATTCTCTATTCCCACTTTTGCTTTGGTCAGGATCTTCATGATGCACAAACTCCCTCTTGACTGGAGGGAGACCTGCATGTACAAGAATGTACAAGTATGGGAATGTACTTGTACATTCAGATACAAGAAAAAGTATTCCAAAAGATTCTAAAGTCAAGGTAGTACAGATCATAAAATCATAGAATATCAGGTTGGAAGGGACCTCAAGGGTCACCTGGCCCAACCTTTCTAGGCTGAGCATGACCTAAACTAGATGTCCTAGCATGCAGTCCAGCACAGCAGCTGACAAATCCTCGACAACCCTGTTGTTGAAAGAACATTGAAAGTTTTACATATACAAAACAACAAAAAACAGTCCTACACATTTGAAATTGTGTAGGATTTGTGTAGAATTGTGTAGGATTTGTGTAGAATTTGAATTGAAATTCTGCCTAATTACTCCTGCTGAACATATTTATGCATATGCAGTGAACACAGAATGGGCTTTAAGATAGTAGAAAATTAAAGCTTTGTTTAAAAGCAAAACTCTCTGTCAATGCAGTGGACTAGATCATACATTAATGCAATAAGACCGTCTTTTTGCCTGTGTGTGTACAGATATTTAGGGAAGCCTGATGTCATTTAACTGAATGCTAACCACAGACAGTAACAACTAGCACTTTATTGCAAGCTGAAGCAAAAGGACTCATTAATGTGTGATTTGAGAAGCAGAATAGGAGGGGAAGCATTTAGTACAGAATTATTTTTATTTAAACAGTATTAATTCTTACTGTACATCACTATGTGCATGGTTTACCCATATATTCTTTGCTTTTATTGGATGAAAATATCTCCATTAAATATATAAGCACATATACCTGTTTATAATATTATACTTCATGAATATAAACCTCAAAAGGTTGCCAGTGTTTATAAACATCTGGACATAAATTCATCTATGGAACATAATGGCAAATTAAATTACAAATTTGACTCAAACAGCATTCAACTCTCAAAACTGTCTCAGGATAAAAAAATGTTTTACAAACTTTTTTTATAATTCATCTTTCTGGATCACTAGTTTCAGAAGCATTGTTATGGTCAAGCCTGTAAGAATGAACTTTGGACCTTTGTCCTTCTTATTAAATCAAGTTATATGAATATTACAATGAATACTACACACTAGGAAGTCCACAAAATGGATGAACAGGAATTAATGACCTAAAAACTGAGTCTTTTAAGAGTTGTTCCCAAGGTATATAGGATCACAGTGATGACACATGTCTACTGCAAAATACTATTTGAAGCTCATCCCCTTTTACTTTTCACAAAGGGCAACCTCATTAGCTTGCATTCTGGACTAAATTTAAGGACCAGAGGCTGACACTGAATAGGAAAATCAAAACCATAAGACCAATTCATTTTTACATTTTTAAATAACCAAAAGGATCATAGCAAACTTAAAAGTATCTCTTCTTCCTGAAAATGTGTTATGAAAATAGAAAATGCTAGGGTAACAAAAATTTAATTGAATCAGTACAGATTGCTTTTAAAAAAATCTGTGGAATTTAAGGAATAATCTTTTCTACAGGCTATTTTAAGCCTTTTATAGAATACTATAGCATATACAGCAATAAAGCTCTACAATATAATTAAAAATCAACAGAAAGTTAAAACATACTTTTTCTTATCTAGCAGCTGTGCTAAATATGGACAAAGTCCATGTACCTTCTCATGTAGTGCATTTAACCCTTTTTTTCACTTCATAAAGCACTGGGTCCGAAGGAATATTGGAAAAATAGCAAAGGCCATATTGTATGGGTTAAAATGCAGAGGGAAGAAAAAGACACCTAAACTGAGGCCTGTGAGAAATCCAGTACTAATGATCCAAACAGAAGCCGCACCAAAGCCTCAAATAGTACTGCCAGGATGCATGTCTAATTTCTCTCCCTTTTTGATGCCGGTATGTCTTTAACTTTGGAATCATCACATGTGAACAGGTTGTGCAAAAATCTGTGTGCCTTTGAAATGTTTGTAGTATGCTCTGATTTACTTATTTTCCTCTTTTTAAAAAAAAATAATAATAAAATTTAAAAAAGAAAAAAGGAATTTTCTAAAGCTGTGTTCTTCAGAAGTCCACCCATTCAGCTTGAAAGGACTACAGCCAACAAGCAGTTTTCTTATTCAGTCTGTGAATTCCCTTTGAGAATTTAAGAAATTAAAAAGAAGAAAGAACAAAAAAAGTAGAGTTGCTGTGCCACAGATGAAAAGAGAGAGTTGCTAAGTTTTTGGCAAAGCTTGCATTCTTCAAATATTCTCCTTCTCAGCTGACTGCTTGATTGCATGATGAATGCTTGGTGGCTGGCTTTTCTCCTCCATTTTGTATGTATATCAACCCATATCCCCATACATACATGGCAGTTTCATGGAGAGAAAAATTTTGTAGAGAAATATCAGAAGAGCAAGATGAAATGCAATCAAGTTCTTGTAACTAGATTTATATTACTTTAGCCTTCAGTGTAGACCGAAGAAAGCTGGCTAGAACAATGATCCACTGCGTTTACTTGTAGAAAACTGCTATCCTCTGGCATGCTGTGAGCTGAATCACCAAAGATACCTTCCGACCCTGCTGGAAAGTCATAAACTGGAAAAAATACAAAAAGAATTAATTAACTAGGATAACTATGTAATGGAGAGTGTCTTAATACTTATGAAAAGAACTCAAAATGGCTTTAAACCAAATAGACAAACAAAACAATACAGGTATGAATTTAATAATTATACAACTTACTACGTACCAAGGGAGGAATTTCAGTTCTGCCAGAATGAAGAATGAAGTACAGCAGATTTCATCTAACACTTGCCCATTGGGGTTCTAAACTTTAGCACTTACTGGGTGCTAAAACTGTGATAATTTTTAAAATAAACTTCATGCATGTTTATTGAATTTTATCATACTCAATATATGATAAGAGGCAATAAAATACCGTGGAACTTATTTGCTCTAAAGTAGAACTTGGCACAGAAATTACTATCTTCTATAAGTAATAGTAGCAAGCACTAGAGTAACTGCAGAAAAAACTCATCTTTTGGTTACTTCTTTACATACTGTGAGATGGTTCTTTGAAGTTACATGTGCATTGGTTTTTAATGCACTAATGAAAGACCACAACATAAGAGGTGTTTCAAAGCACAATAAATATTAAATGAAATCATCCTGTGTGGAAAGACAGTAAAGCACTTGGGCATCAGTGGTACTTAGGTCCTGATTAGGCCTACTATATTGTGCTGATCCTCTATACATAGGCAACTTTCATCTTTCTAGACTACTGTGGAAGCTCCTTATGTGCTTTTTGGGTAAGCGTAGATTGTGAAGTGTGCACAGAAAAGTTTTCACCCATGCAATTCTTGCCATGGAAATGTAAATAAAATTCAAGACTGAGAAAAATCAAACATGAAAAGATTTACAGGTTTGAATCATTTCAGGTCTCTGCTATAATACAGCAATGAGGAGTGGATGCACAAATATCATACAGGGCTCAATGGGCTTTATTTCAAATACATGAACTAGTGACTGACCCCCCATAGGTTAGAATCTTGAGAAACCCTCAACTGTGTGCTGTCTGCACAGAGGTCAGATGTTACTGTGACCCACTGTGACTTGGTCCCAATGCAAGCCATACCACAGAGGTCTGAAAACTATCTCCTCTTTCTGAAGAGTCAAGTCTGTCATGACAGGTCCTAGCTACATACATAGCTCACTCAGATCTGTCGAAGTCCACAAACAGTACACAACCACCCACAAAATGTCCAGCTGTCTTTTACCTGCAATACCAGAGTGTGTTGAAAAAGTCTGATGGAAAGTGTCAAGTTCTGCCTGGTCCACTGATGTGGGAACTAAGCAGTCTTCAAAAGGAGGAACTGTATTGCAAGAAACGCTATCTTGTACATTCTTCTGAGTGTCAGCATAATGTGGAGGGCAGAAAGTCTGAAGCTGCCCATATAACCCTACAACAAGGGAAAGAAAGTTGTCAATAAGACCTGGACAGAGACACATGAGATAGCACGTGTAACCATGGCCATAAGAATGACAAAAACCTCAATAGCAGTAGCTCCAGTACTTCAACTCTTTTCCACCAAAAAAAGCAGTTTTGATATGAAGCTCCTTAAGATTTTCTCCAGCTGCTACTAATTCTGGACACAATCCACTTCATGGATGTCCTGACATACATGACTTGTGAGAAGCACTGTCTGGCTAGAAGCTGAAGTTTTTCAGGGAATTTCTCCCTTTACTCTGCAGTTCTACTGTCTGAACTAGTACTCTCCAGATTTCACACTGGGCTGCTGCCTGAAGTATCTAAGAGAATTCTTAATTTAGAATAAAGGAAGATAACTCAAGTAAGGCCTGCATAACATCTGAGCGTTTGTCGCTAATGCCAAGACAGATGGCCAATAGTGGGGCATGCATATGAGATCAGAAAGGCTGCCTGCTGACAATCCACGAGGCCTGTTGTTTTTCAGTACATGGTGACAGTCTAACCCACTCATCAGTAGAAATGAATCCACATGGGAGAAAATCAAGACCATTGTGTTACATGACATGAAAGATCCCCACCAGGGTTTTTGTTCTTTAAGTTTTTTTTTGTTCTTTAAGTGATTATTAGAGATGTCTAAGCACTGAGTAAATTCACATTGAGGTTCATGACAAAATATTATTTACACTTCTTTATAAAACAGGGACATGTATGCAATCTAAGAAGGCAGAGACAGATGTTCTGCAGTAGTTTGGCTTGAAGATTTTTCTCATGGAAGCAAGGTCTTTTCTCCCCTTAAAATTATGACTGGCATGACTTTTTTTTTCTGTGCTGAATATATTCTCAGAATATATTATAGAAAACTGAAACAAAAAAAACCAACCAAACACACCACATTCTTTTACCTATAAAAGCCAACCTTCAGACTCCTGACCAAACTGTCCAACGCTTAGACTTAGTAGCAATTTTTTAATTTACAGAATTTACTGTTGTCTTGATGTGCTGTTGTCTTGATGAGGAATATGTTGTGCAACACCCTAACCCAAACAAACCTGCCTACCTCAGATACCTTTACAGCATATGCTTATACATGTGTATACAGTCTATGCTTAGAAATATGTTAGGAACATAAGAAATTTTTTTTCTGGATTGTGGCTAGGAGCTAGGTGTGTTTCCATTAACTTTCCTACGAAAGTGTGCATATGGGACTGTTGTCTGTTGAAGATGTACTGTTTATGTACAGACAATGCATTTCATAGATAACAGGGATAGGGAAAGGAGAAGGATGCAGTGAAGAACAGGCTGTATCACTTTTTCATTGAACTAGGAGGAACGATGCATGATTTAGGAGTTCTATGATTCTTTTTTCCTTTGAGACTGCAAAACCACACAAATGCTGGCATGCGTAAGATGTGCTTGAACTGAAACAGAAAACTCTGCGTTTAAAAGCATCAGAATATGTCAGGACTATAAGAGAGACAAGAAGTCTGAACCTGCACTCAGGAACTCAGAAGAGACCTTATGGGAAGGTCTCTGTAACAATAGTGAGTGAAACACAATTTTTGTATTTTATTCAGTAGCATCGCAAGACACTTCCATGTACACAAAATGAGATAAATGCCTGATTTACATAAAGGTAACAATCATTTAGATGGGGAAAATAGTTACATGAAAGACCAATGAAACAATTGTCAGTGTAGTGTTTTGTCTGAAAACCTGCATGAAGAAAAAAGTATCCTGACTCACATAAAAGAAGGAAATAAAAAAACAAGGATATAAGAAAAACAGAGAAAGAAAAAATCATAAGCAGAAGCACAGTTCCTCTTCCACAGCAGGCGCAATTTGCAGAATTTGTGCTCATTCTGGAAAGGCCAAACTCTCATAGATTTCATAGTCTTTTGCACAGGCTGTGGGAACTCTGCAGCGCTAGCTGTAAGATAATGGTTTCAATAATTGTTTTTCTTTTAAAGTTTGATTGCAACAAAACTGAGATTGCAAAGCATGTTAAGAATTTACAACTGTCAATCCTTAAAGGTTCAGTCCTGACATTTAAGAATCAACTCCAGTAAAATAAAGCAAAATGAAGAAAAAACAATAGCCTTCCAAAACTTGACTTAGAAGCTGCATCGCTATTGACAGTTTTTGCCTCCTTTAAAAATGCTTTTAAAACTAATAGGACACACTGTGCAAGTTTACTGTTGAGTCAGACTAGTTACCAGAAACAACCATTTCAATCTATAGTGGTCTTAGCCAGCTGGCAAGACCCTTCAAGACACATGCTGAAATGTCCTTTCACATAGCTCTGTGCTCATTCTCTAGTTGTGCCTTTCTCACAGCATCCCGTTCCCAGTGCAGAACAATCTGGCAGTAACTTTGACTACCACTAGCTGAAGTCTGGCAGAAAAACTGCTTACCTTGGGGTTGAGCTATTGTGAGTCATATCCCCTGTGTTTGCTCATTCCCTACATAAGCTAAAGAATATTGTCTAGCAAAGTCTTACAAGCTTTGATCCAGTGGTACATTAACCTCTATATTGCAGGAAGAACCAGGAAAGTGCATAAAGCACTTTCATTAACTGATAAACCCCCCAATATTTTTTTTAAGATGGAAGAGAGAAAAGATAAATATTTCAGCTTTTACATTTGTTTTTTTTCATGATTCAGTGTCAGAAATATCCATCTTATAAAATACAGAGCCATAAAAGGAAGGAGCAGAACAGCGCATACATTATTCTCTATCCCTCAATTATTTAGCACCTTGTCCATGTCTGCAGTGCATCAGGTCACAATGTAGAGGTCTTTGAACTGGAGCCCAAATATGATACAGCAAAATGTCCTAATTTAGTGTCAGAATATTCTCTTTATTCATGTGTTGCCATGCCCAAGATAATGAACACTACTGCTGATGTTAGGATAACACGAAAACATGTAATTCAGGCCCTATACCCAAACTATAGTTGGCCCCTTGTTTGAGATTATCTGTTAGCTCCATGTAGCTTCAGTTTTCTGTGTTTTCATGCAGTACTGGAAAAATAAAAAAGGCAAACAGGTTGGTTAATGAAGTTCCAGCAACCGAACAGTTCTCAGGACTGCAGCCTGGACTGTAACATTTGCTCTCTTGTTCAGCTGTTTAAAACACACACATGCACAAGATTATGTCAATTGTGTTTCTTGGAGTCAGTGCACTACAGCCAAGATCCATGATGTCAAGATACAGAATAAATAGTTTAAACAGCTATTTTTCTGTCATGATAGAATTATTTCCTGAGGAAAGTGAAATATTTTTAAATATGATAAAATAGCTGTATACTGTAAGAATCTCTTCTAAAAGCAAAAAGCTCATGTTCTTTATCACTTACAAAGCTTTGTCCTGAGAGATGCTAAGCATCAGAAAATCCCAGATACACAGCCATTCCAAATTCCCAGCTGAAATTATGGTCTACATAAGTTTGTGATAAGGTCCTGATTCCATTGAACTGATGTGGACAAAGAGCTCATTACAGTTATGTAATGAATGATTGCCACAGCTATAATTTCCATAAGGTAGGAAGTTTCTGATGAACATCTATTTCCTTCTCAGTCAGTTCTCTGCCTGGCATCACAAAGAAAGCATATTTTCTCATGAAAATAATTGTAAATGCTATTAAGAAATATACATCATGGGGAAGTAGTCTTTACTCCTATGGTGTGTAAAATTCCCAGCTGTTTTTGGCTTAAACTACTTCAAAATAGTGTTCCTCTGCAGTACATTTCTACAGTGTCCACTAGGTTAATTTCACAATCAGGTAATAATTTGGTACCATCTGAGTGCGAAGAACAGAAGGAAAATAAGTCATAGCTAGGAGTCACAAATTGTACTGCAAGACTGGCTTGCAAAGGTGAAAAACTGATAAGGTTTTTTTTTTATTTAAGTCTGGTTA